ATCCTAAGCATATAGATCCAGGTGGTCAGCTGTGTTGGTCTGAAGCAGTAGAACAAATTCAGAGTCCAGTGGCACCTCTAAGACCAACGCATTTTTATTCCAAGGTATGAGCTTTCGTGTGCATGCGCACTTTTTCAAATACACTGGAATGGTAGGTAAGGGTCTAACTTATAGACAGGGGCTGAACAGCAAATTTAACATGTAACGTGATGAAGATGTGCATAGACAAACTAAATAACAAGCTAAGGTTATAAGGTCGACAGTTGTAAAGCAATAAATAGATCAAGATACCAGATAAATGCGTAAAGGTATCTTTTCTAATGGTGGGAAATGCAATGCAGAAAGGTGAAATTCTGCTTAGGATTGTATGGCTAGGCGTACAATAACCTTGTAACATATTGCAGGTATGAGGAAGGAGAGGGGTTGGCCATGAGAACAGACATTTGCTTGAGGTGGTAAAGGGTTGGAGAATCAGACAAAGGGCCCACTGAAATCAATGATAATTATTCCTTGGTGTTGAGGAATCTTAGTTCAATGGATGCATCAAGACCCAGCTAAGTGCCCAGTGTCATGACCGGGAGATGCAAAACGCTCTGAGGTACACACCCAGGGGTCCTAGTACCTCTGGGAAGGATGCTCTTTCTCAGAAAAGGAAATAATGAACAGCTCAAATGGCAAGCTGAGCAGAGATGAATTTTCCTGCACCAAGATAACCCTTAGCACAGCTGCCAGGAAGAGGCAAGGTGGATGGCTATTCCAATAACATGAGCTGGGCAATAAACCAAAGACACATGTGTCCCGGCTGGATTAGAAAAAGGAGGGCTGCATGTCCCACTTCCCAAAAAGCAGGATCGGGCAAAAGGGAGCTGAGACGGATTGCACAGAAAAGCAGGTTTTAAAATGCTGCTTGGGACAGAGAGTTAGGAAATAAGAGCTTAAATGGTTGGCTGCTCTACTCACCCTGACTGGCCAGCATCAGCTGAGAGAGGAAATAATAACAGCTGATCTGGAAGAAAAAGATTCATTCACCTTTTCAGTCACTTTTGGGTTTTGCCTGAAATCTAACCATCTGGATCAGTAGCCAGACGATTTGGCTTCTGAGGAAGAGACTTTGAGAGTGATTTCTGTCAGGGAATTGTCAGGAAAGTACTTCTATAGAGAGAAAAATAAGGACCCCATTGTCTAATTAAAACTACTCTGAGGGAGAATTCAGATTCTCAGTCAAGACAGCTACAACACAGCTTTATACAGACATACAGTACCGGAATTTGGCAGGAGGTTTTAGGAGTTAGAACTCCAAGACCAGCCAAATAGGAAAAGGAGTCATTGCTTCTTAGGGACAAGAATAATAATTTCTAGCCACTAGGAAGAGGTTGGGAAGAGAACTTTGGTCTGTGATGAAGGGGAAAAGCTTATACACGTCAAGAGTTACTGGAAAGCTATAATATCTAAAGGGAAAACCTAGATCTCTGAAGGGAGAAATGGAGGTAACTTCTAAGACTCATGACTCCCAGCACATCTACTTAAATGATATTATGCATTAGGGACAGGAAAGACCACTCCTTAAAGTACTGGAAAGCCACTGCTAGTCAAAGTCAATAGTCTGAGGCTACACCAGGTAGCTTTCCATATTTGCAATCTGCCCCTGAGAGATAATATGATCTTGAAGACTGACCCAGTTCATTTGGGGCCAACGTGAGACTTTAACCAGGGAATGCCTGACTTGCAGCTCAAACACTGTAGGGCGGGAGCCAGCATGGTATAGCGATTAGGGTATCTGACCAGAATCTGGGAGACCGAGGTTTGAATCCCCACTCTGCCATGGAACACAGTGGGTGACCTTGGGCCAGTCAATCTGCCCAGCCTAACCTACCTCACAGGGTTGTTGTGAGGATCAAATTGAGGAGGGGAGATCCATATACGCCACCCCAAACTCCTCAGAGGAAGGACAGGATACAGACTAATTCCATTAACAAGAGTTCACTCTCAGACACATGCACTTTAATTTCAACGCATTGTCACTGGGAAAGTTTTGGGGGGAGAATATGACAGGGACTGCAACACTTAAGGTAGCAGAGGTTAATATCTCCACATCACTAATCAGAAGTGCTTTAAACTCTACTGAGGGGAGGGTGTTGGTGGAAAGCACTGTCAAGCTGGAGCAGATTTATAGCAATCCAATAGGGTTTTCAAGGCAAGGGTCATTCAGAGGCGGTTTGCCATTGCCTGCCTCCCTGTCACGACCTTGGACGTCCTTGGCGGTCTCCCATCCAAGTACTAACCAGGGCCAACCCTGCTTAGCAGCCGAGATCTGCCGAGATCAGGCTAGCCTGGGCTATGGAGAAGATGCCAAATAGTGGTCCTTCGTTCTTCTCCACGAAGGCTAAAAGCAGCTGGGTACTGGGGAGTTTTGATCAGGGAAACAGCAGAGGGAAAGCGTAACTCCATTTCTCCAGTGTCTTATCAAGTCCAACCCCAAGCTGATTTTTGAAGCTAAAGTACATATTGGGGGGGGGGGGCTCCAAGAACTGGAAGAAGTCTCCATCATTAACAAAAGTAGGGTTCACTTCAAGGGGCCCTGGTGTCATGTGAAGTTTTACCCCAATTGCACAAAAGTTTGGCTTCAGGTCCATTAAGGAAATTAACCTATTCTCCTAAACACAAAAACATGAGTGTCAAAACATGTGTGGCACAACCACAGCATGAAAGAAAACAATCTTTCTTGCTTCACTGGCTAGAATTCATTGTTCCTTGGTGTCTTGCAAGTCTACAAACAGCTATTTTCAGGCCTGCTATGTAGTGTATGCAACACACACATTTTATAGGGAACCGCACGCTCTCATTCATACTTCCAGACAGAAGCCAACTTCCATCCTGTACCTGGCTATCAGACTGGGTTCTGTACTGGCCCAGAGGAGAATGTTCTGTCTCTTTAACAAAGACTTAATATGGGGAAATGGACAACCTAAACTTTTAATGGTATGGAGATAAATCACATCAGCTGGTCAATAACACCCCTATTCGCCCTCTGTTAAAGGGACTGGACATCTATTTCTCCAAGCAGCAAGCAACCCTGACAACTTGTATTTCACTGTGGAAAACTACAACCTCTTCATCAGTTTTCAAGGAGATTATGTACTGTCCTATGACAGCTGCCTGGAAGACCAACGATTGCATAAGTTCTCTGGGGGGGGGGGAAAGAAAAGAAGTCGACCTCTTCTTATGCACTGAGAAGTGTTCTAAAGCCTTTTATACATTGAGAAGTGTTCTAAAGTGTTTTCTGGGGCCCTGGCTAAGTCTGATGGGCCTCACCACCGACCCACTGGAACCATGACCTCCTAAAACACACCCTTTTTGGCCACCCCTTGGAAGCAGTGCAGAAAGCCACCCTCCAGAAAGTTCGGGCTGATGTGACTCATCTTCACATGAGGAAACCTCAAGGCTTCCTGGAACACAGTTGGAAAGCCACTGAAAAAAACCTCGAATCAAAATGAATGTATATATTCAGAACACAGTTCCAGGTTTCAAGTTGGAACATCACTTACTCCCATAGGGTTACCAGCAGCCTGGAGACAAAAAAAAAAAAAATTTCCCCGTCTCCTTAATAAAGGCTTAACTGGATATTATTTACCAACTGATGCCAACTTCAGCCACTCATTTCAACACATTAAGCGTCCGTTAAAGAAACAGGGTGTTTTTCTTCAGGCCCGTTGGCAAATGTAATCTCTCACCCAATCTCAAGATGCAGAATAAGTCTGAGGCTCTTTATAAGCTTTTTGTAGTTGCCTGACTGCATTTCAGCCTAGAAACAAAAAAAGTGATTTTAACAAATAAACTGTCACACAACAGCTGGACCAAACACCAAATTCACACCTGCCATGTAAAGCAGTTTACTGATATGCACAGGGGAAACAGCAGCGAGGGCAAGTGGCTCCGCCATCAGGTTCCTGATGTGGGAGGAAAAGGGGCAATTTTTACTCAGGCTTCTGCACCAGGCTCCTCAGTCCGGCTTGCAGCCCCCAAGGAAGGCTGATTTAGGAATCGCGTCTCAGTCTTCCTTCATGCAAGGCACCTGCCCTTTCAGTTTAAGCCAGGCGACCTGAAATTTTGCTTCAAGAAAGGGGAATTTCGATTAAGATCTATGGTGGCTGTGTGCACCAATCAAAGTTCGCCAGCGCCAGAATTCATTCTCCAAAAGATGCATGCGCCTCGAGAACGACCACCTCCCTCCCAATCCTAAAAAGATGACGATTAAAAAATAATAAGATGTGCGGGCTGGAAGGCAGGCTTGCGGAAGGGTCGTTCACGGAACGAGGCAGCCTCGCTCATGGGCGGCGGCTTCTTTCCCCGAGCCCGGCAGAAAGACAGACCAGGGCGGGGCTCCACGGCTTCGGTGCCGGGGTCAGGCGAGGGGAAGCCGGATTTGCCTCCGTATTAAAAAATAACGGCAGCAGATCTGCGCTTCTTCAAGGGGTTACTGGGACCCGCGGTTCCTCAGCCAGGACGCGAGGCTCTGAAGAAGGAAAACAGCCTCCCTTTTCCAAGGTTGCATCCCAGCCGGGGAAGCGCTAAATCTAACCGGAGGCGACTGTGAGGAGGACCGAGGTCGGCGCACTGGCGCTGCGTGCAAGCGAGGCGCAGAAAAGCCCCACCGACCGCTTGTGCGTGCACACGAAAGCTCAGACCTTGAGTAAACCTTTGTTGGTTTATTGGACTCTACAATTGTCCTTTCCCTTTTGTAAAGACAGCGAGACATTCCCTGGATTTATGGCTCCACCCGACCGACCCACGCTTCCTCGGCTGCTGCGCTACAGCGCTCGCCGGCAACTGAATTTCCCCCCTGCGCGCAACGGGATCGCCAACCACGGCTCCGGCGCAGCAGCCGCCCACCAGGTGTGGATGCAGCCAAAACGACCGGACATTTCCCGTCCCCTTCCTGGCTGGAAGGAGGAAAAAAAAAAAGGGAGATCAGCATCCGCAGCAGGGACCCGCTTCCTTACCGATTGCTGAGCCGCCCTGAAAGATGCATCCAGCAGCATGAGCCGCCAGGGCTCCGACACGGTGCTGGGCAAAGGCAGGTACACATAATAGGCGGTGAACGCGAACAGCCCGGCCAGCAGCACCACGGCCGACTTCATGATGCGCAGCCCCGTCGCCCCCCCCGGCCGACCTCCGCCTTTCACCCCGCAGCGCCGCTTTTCAAAAGGAGGACTTTTTGCAGCCAAGGTTGCTCGCAGCCCCCATTCAGGGGTTTCATAACCTTCACAGGCCAATCAGCGGGGAGAGCGAGGAGGAAGTCCAGGCGCTTCCGTCCCCTTCAGCCTCGTTGTGTCCTTGCACTGGGTTTGCATTTCGGTCGCGATTCCGGCAGGGCCGTGCACAGAGACACCTAGCGGACGAGGGGGCGCGAGGCACCCAAAGAGCTAGAAAACCTATTTACCAAAATAAATCATGGGATTGATCCCCGAATTAGGTAATTAAATGGGGTGGTGGTGGTTTTTTTAAGAACATAAGAGACGCCAATGTTGGATCAGGCCAAAGGCCCATCCAGTCCAACACTCTCTGTCACACAGTGGCCAGAAATACCAGTGCCATCAGGAGGTCCACCAGTGGGGCCAGGACATTAGAAGCCCTCCCACTGTTGACCCCCCCCCCCAAGCACCAAGAAGACAGAGCATCACTTGCCCCAGAGCCCCTAGCTATACCCTGTGGCTAATAGCCACTGATGGACCTCTGCTCCATATGCTTATCTAATTCCCTTTTGAAGCCGTCCATGCTTGTAGCACCCACCACTTCCTGTGGCAGTGAATTCCATGTGTTAATCACTCTTTGGGTGAAGAAGTACTTCCTTTTATCCGTTCTAACCTGACCGCTTAGCAATTTCATTGAGTGCCCACAAGTTCTTGTATTGTGAGAAAGGGAGAAAAGTACCTCTTTCTCTACCTGCTCTTTCCCATGCATAATCTTATAAACCTCAATCATGTCACCCCTCAGTCGTCGTTTCTCCAAGCTAAAGAGCCCTAAGCACTTTAAACCTTTCCTCATAGGGAAGGTGTTCCAACCCTTTTATCATTCGAGTTGCCCTTTTCTGCACTTTTTCCAAAGCTATAATATCCTTTTTAAGGTGTGGTGACCAGAACTGCACACAGTATTCCAAATGAGGTTGCACCATTGATTTATATAGGGGCATTATGATATTGGCTGATCTGTTTTCAATACCCTTCCTAATAATCCCCAGCCATAGCATTGGCCTTCTTTATTGCAGTCACACACTGTCTCGACATTTTCAGTGAGTTATCTACTACAACTCCAAGA